CTGTTTCAATCTTTTTGTTTTTTGTTGTTTTTGCGGCACGCGGGCCTCTCACTGCTGCGGCCCCTCCCTCCGCGGAGCACAGGCGCCGGACGCGCAGGCTCGGCGGCCATGGCTCACGGGCCCAGCCGCTTCACGGCATGTGGGATCTTCCTGGACCGGGGCACGAACTCGTGTCCCCTGCATCGGCAGGCGGACTCTCAACCACTGCGCCACCAGGGAAGCCCCCAAGGTTCATTTTTGTGTGACCTCAGGAGGGCGGTGCTTAGCTGGTCCAGTGGGCAGTCCAGTTTGGTCTGATTGTCTGAGCTTCCTTGGGGTGGAACTGCAGGGTGTACGTGCAACAGTGAGCTCCCCATCCCTGGAGGCATGCAAACCTCCCGATGGTTTTCAAGCTCCCCTGGCGCTGGACTAGTTGTTGCAGAGGGTCCCTTCTGTTGTAGTTTCTGGACTCAAGTGACTAGTCTAGGCTCTGGTGACCAACACGGCCACCCACCCCCGAGTCTCTGATGGAGCAACCTAGAAAATCCCGTGTTGCCAGCAAGGTCCTTGGCCCATTTGGGCTCGAGAGCACCTGCCGAGGATGCTTCACCTGTATTGCCGGCTGTCACTCAGCCTGTGGCTGGCAGGGGCTGCGGAGTGTCCTGTACTGGGGACACTGGTGTAGTGCTAGGCTTTCTGTGTCCGATGTGGCCTGTGCTTTTGTCTGGCCTTAGAGCATGTTCGCTGCTCAGGTACCAAATCCATCTCAACTTTACACGGTTTATTTTCCAATCAGGCCACCGTAGTCTTTATAAGCTTCCTGGGACCTGCCTCATTGTGGGGACAACTGCTGGGAGTGGAGGAGGCCCAGATGGGTGTTAGGTGAGGACGAGGGGGCCTTTCGGGCCTGTCACAGCTGGTTTAGGTGATGGGGGTGAGGTGTTCTCATCTGGGCAAACCTGCTGGGAACATTCATTCGTTCAGTACACACTTACTGCACTTACTATGTGCCAGGCCCTGTTCTAGGGACCTGGGGATTCAGCTGTGAACAAGACAAAGTTACCCATACTTTCATTAAGTTTTATCTAGCAGGGGAGACAGAAAACAAGTGAGTTAATAAGTGAATAAGAAAACATCAGCTAATAAAAAATACTGTGGTCCCATAGCTATCTTAAGCTCTTTATGCTTTAATATACCTAGTTTTATTTTTCCTTTCAGCATAACAATTTTGATAGCAATACTATTACACTGAAACTTTTACATAAGTTTTTTCACTAAACTAAAAATGAGTAATATTTTAAGCTGAATAATGTGGATGATTTCAGGCTGTAAAAACAGCCACAGAATCCAAACAACAAAGGAAAAAGGTATCCATACAAATAACACTAGCAAACAAGATACTGCTACGTCTCTAAGTAGAATACAACTATAAGCTTATTGAACCAACGCCCTATTTTTATATCCCATAATCTTCATCAGACGATGGCCCTGGTCTACTAGAGTACATTTTGGCTATGTAAGTAACCGCCTAGTGAAATTTGTTCCAAATCTAAGTCACAGATGAACAGATGTTTAAGTGTAAAACATCGAGGTAAATAATTTTAAGATTTTTCCTGTTATAAGTGGTCAGCTTTATGTTAGAAAAATGTATCTGTAAGCAAGTTATTTGAACTGATTCCTTCTTAGAACTTTGATTTTTTTTCATAGTTTGCCTCTGAAATCATAATCCCTTCTGTAATTTTAATTTCAGTGTGGTCATCATTAAGTCAGTGCAGTCATTTACTTTAAAAAATGCTGTGAAGATGGCAAACAGGGTGATGCGAGAGAAAGTAAGGGGGTACTTTAGCCAGGGATTTCAGGGCAGGACCTAACGGTTGAGGGAACGTTTGGGGACTGTGCAGCAGCTGGAGTGTAGTCCCCCCAGGCAGATAGAAGAGGCAGTGCAAAGGCCCTGGGGCTGGACAGAGCCGGCGGGTATGTCCCGAGGGCGTAGGTGAGGGAGGGGAAGGTGCCAGCCAGATCACCCAGAGCTGGTGAGGCGTTTGGGTTTTATCATCTGTGCGAAGGGAGGCCAACGATGAAGTTTATGCTGAGAAGTGATTTGATTGGATTTTGGGGAGCCGATGGGCCAGGGGCATGTTGAGAGCCCCAAGCGTCTGGCTCGTGTGGCTAGTCACTAACTCCCAGTGCCTTGGTTGCCCCATCTGTGAGATGGGTTGCTGAAGATTCAATGAATTACTATCCCTGAAGTGCTGAGCTCCGTGTCAGGCGTGTAGGAAGTGTTCTGTGATTTTTGTTCTTTTTACTTTATCAACAGAGACCAAGAGTTATCCCTCAGTCATTCATTCAAATATTCAAATATTTATGAGCACCTGCTCTGTGCCAGCCGCTCTTTGGGCCCTGGGGAGACAGCAGTGGATGAGGCCTGTCACTCTGGTGCTGCAGACAGACAATCAATAAATACGCCTGTGATAGAAAGACAGCTTGATAAGGACAATAAGACAGATCAGGCTGGGGCTGCTTCTCAGGGTGCAGCGCTTCACCAGGTCACCCCAGCCGGGCCTCCCAGCCTCTCTCCGGCTGCTGTAATTGCCGCCAGGTGGAAGGTTACCCCTCCCCAAGGGACCTTGCCCTGTCACTTTAATTTCTCAGTGTTTGCGCGCTGGGGCCGCGGAGTTAAAGTTAATTTCACGCTTGACTTCCTGCTGCACTGGCAATTGCGGATGTGTTGAAATCACCTGTACCCACCTCAACTGCTGTCCTCTGCCACCTGCCTCTTCGGGAGGTGTGGGGATGGCCACCCCTGCTCCCGGCAGGGTCGGGGACGGGGGAGGCGGGTGACTCGCTGTGGGGTCTTAGCCCCAGGCCTCGGGACTGACTCCTCAGACCTCCCAGGCTTTGGGAAGGAGGGGAAAGGGCAGGAGATGGGGGAGGGCAACCCCAGAGCCGCATCTGCCCGTGCTCTGTGGAGGGACTGGCCCCCTCTCTGCAGGCCGGACCTGCCGGGAGAGATCGGAGCTGAATTCACTGGGTTGGGGAACCCACAGGTGATTCGGTGAAAGGGCGTGGGATTGATGCAGCGGTGATGGTTGAGGCTTTTGTGTGTTCTGCTGGGGCCACCCCTTCACCTGGTGTCCTCTCCTTCCCTTGGGGCCTGGAAGCCTGCTATAGCTCCTGGTAGCTCTTCCTTCCCAACTTTCTTGTCTTCAGACTGATTTTTCCCCTCCTCAGCCCTCGTTGAGGGCTGGCTGATGCCCTGGGGCCATGCAGGTGGAAAGGGTGCTCAGGACCCAGATTACTGTTAACAGGTCCTTGTGGTCTTGCTCTGGAGGTTCAGAGATGTTAAGTCAGGGCCTCACAGCCAAACTCCTAGACCAGCTCAATCTGTGCACCCACCCTGCTTCCCTCTCCTGGGTCTGCAGTCCGGACTCTGCCCCTCGCTAGCCCGGTGACCTCGGGCAAGTCACATCACTTAGCTTGCCAGTAAGTTGGTCTCCTTGGAGTCATCTTGCATGGGAAAAGTGCTTGGCCCCTAGTAAGCATGTTTTGGACCATCAGTCACCCCAGTCTGACAGGCTTTTCCCAAAACATTCAGGGCCCTTCATGGGCTGCTTCCCCCACAGTCGGGGGTCTGGTTCTCCCTGAACGCCCCTCCTCACTCCCTCCAAATTCACTGTCACCCTTACTCCCCCGGAACCCAGTATTCTCCTCATTTCCCTCTGCCCACCCCATTCCTTTACTTCTCCCAAGCTTCATCTCAAACCTCTCCTCCTCCAGGAAGCCTCCCCTGATTGCCCCCACACTTTCCTTTTTCAGAACTCCATGGACCCCAGGGCCAGTCCCACCCAGGGCCTGGCCAGACTCTCCTTGAACGTCCACGGACTTTGCATCTCCTTTTTCCTCCTTCCTGGTTCCCGTTTCTCCCCCTAGTCCAGTGTCAGCCGACAAGGCCCATATTTCTTGACAGGCTGTGCTTTTTTAAACCCTGCCTTCTCCAGGAGATTGAGATATCCTTTGCACCCTATAAATGCCTCCACCGGC